CATTGTTCGCAGCAGCACCGGGTCCGAGCAATCCGAGTCCCACTGTCCCGTTGTTTGACCTGTTTCCCGTCCGATAACTCGTAGTTTCCCGAAGTCGGGTAACTTATTGGAATCTTCTCGTCATTACGGTCGTTTTCATATATCGCATGTTATATATATGTTGTGTTCGATCTATCGAAAGTTAATTTGAAGTTGGATTTGTTTTGGTTCACTTAATTGTGCGTATGTGTATTTCGTTTATTCGTGGATTTTCGGAAGTGATTGGAACTCTCGATTTCATAAACGTGTATACCGTTTCGTTGCAGTGAAAAATATATATAAGTTCGGGGTCTCGTTTTTTTGTTTCGAGCCGTCGTTAGGTTGTTCGGGTCGTTCGAACCCCCGGTCGTTCATTTTGTTTTTACATTTGGTTGTTCCGTTTTTCATCGAAAAACCGTTGTTAAAAATATATTTCGGGACTCCAAAAATATGTTATTCTGATAATCCCTCGATTCCCGTTACTGTTAGATATGTTGTCATCAAATTTGGCCGTCGAATTTCAGCCTCGGAGTTGTTTCCGCTTAACAGTTTCTGTCATATAGTCCCAGGCTCTGTACTTCTATTTCCATTCACAGGCTTTGTTTTTATGATCAGTACCATTTGTTTTCATGAAAATAAACGTAGGATTTAGTGGCGCAGTGGTGAATAACGTGCATTTATGTATGCATGGTCGCGAGTTCGAATCCCACTTCTTGCAATCCTGCCATTTTATTTTTAGTTTTCTTGTAATCCTGCCATTTTATTTTTAGTTGAACCATCCCAGCGCGCAGGCTGTCCAGCCCGTAATAGGCCCGCGTCCCGGCCCGATATCTTCCTAAGCCTCCTCAGCCCGTGAGCCCAATCCCGGCCCGCGGCCAGCAAACTTAGTTTGGGCTGCCCAATTGGGCGTGTAGGCCCAAATTCCTTAGCCATTTCGGCCCAATTTGCGGCTGCTTGTGTGCAGTGGCCCAAGGCGGCCTTTTAAGCCAATTTTTGTGTTCCGGAATCCGTTTTAAATGCCGATTTAAATTTTCAAAATATTCTAAAAATGAGAAAAATTTTGGGAAAAATTATTCTAAGTTCCGAGACCCCAATTTACTTCTCCGAGTCATATTTTTCAAAAATGAGAGAGTTCCAAGTCCACGAAAAAT